TGAAATCCAAGCATTATGGTTTTGCGACAGCTATTATTTATTTATAAAGAAATGTAAAAGCAGTTATTTATAAATAATGACTTTGAAGTCAATTCGTTATTTATATATAATGAAATCAGTGAACTTATAATATATAAATAATTGTAAGTTACTTTTCATTATTTATATATAATGATTTGTTACCTTTTCATTATTTATATATAATGGAATCAGTGAACTTATTATATATAAATAATTGTAAGTTATTTTTCATTATTTATATATAATGATGTGTTTCCCCTTCCTTATTTATATATAATGAAGCCAATAACCTTATTATATATAAATAATGTTTGGTTAGCCTTTCATTATTTATATATAATGTAATCAGTAAACTAATTATATATAAATAATGAAACGTTAACGCAATTATTAGACGTAAATGCACTATATATAAATAATGGGTGATCTAGTCAATTATATGTTAAATAATGAATTATTATAAATAATTGTGTTAAATAATAAATTTACACTTGGCGCCTCATACATTTGTACCCCGGCCAAGCTTCCCGAAATGAAATAGTAGACTCCAAACAGACGTAGCGCGATTATGGAGATCGAACATGACCATAGCCTGTTTTGGCATACTTTATATACCTGGTTTGAGTTAAAGTTGGCTACCGATAGAGGGCGAAAATCATTACGTTTGGAGGCAATTGTTACGAAAAGAAATAGATTGATCAATATTATATTATATATTGTATTCACTTTAGTTAGTCCTGTATGGATTCTTTTTAGATCATGACTGCCCATTCAGAGCTGGTCGGAAGTTTTATCTTTGGTAGTCTCCTCGCTAAATGTTATGTTGATGTTTCTTTTTGAAACTCAAATTGATCAAATAAACTGCCTCTTACTTTCCCATAATTGCTTAAAAAAACGCTTAATAAAATAATTGGCAGTGAATATAGAGACCTTCGTATACTAAGAAAATCTGTGTTATTATGGTTAAATTGTTTCGCAGTGGAAGTTGATCAGTTACTTTTGTCCTCATGAGCAAACAAAAATGTTTCTATCTATTGAATATTTTGGTTTTCAGATTAACCACAGACTGACGTAATGGTGGCGGTAAATTCCCTAATCCCATGATGCAACAGAAATAATGTTAATTGGCATTTGGCGCGAGTCCCGAAATCTCCCTTGTGTGTGTATCCTGACAACATATTACAAACGTCAACTTTAGGTTTCTGCAAGGGAACCAATTAAAAACAGATTTTTTACAGATTGGTTTGTTTATTTTCTTACAATATATGTCTTTAATTAACCGTGAAAATCTTGCGTAAATTCTGTACAAAACAGAACAAGTTATAGGGCTAGGCCTAGCTACGCTCTAGGCATCGTTTCTCAACCGAGGCCTTCTCTCCATGGTTGGCCGTACGTACACCTACAATGCGGGCAGGACAATAGATGCGCCAGGGTCTAAGCCTTCTAGCTAGGCCCAGGGCCGCTCTTGATCTAGGCTAGGCCTACCTAGATTCTTATGGGCTGGCAGTTGATAGAAAACAGTGCCGGTTGTCTGGCCTAGACTATAAGTATAATGTTATTAAGGCTTGCTAACTAAGGAAGATAGGCCTAGGTCTATGATGAATAAAAAAGGCCAGCAGAGGGCCTAGGCTAGGCCTAGCTATGACTTGGATGAGGACCAGTTTGCCATGATGGTCCACCCCGTAACTAACTAAGCCTTAGGCGAACAACTCCCTGGCCTAGCCTTGTAGGTCTAGGCTTCATACCATTTAGATTTCCTTCCACATCTCAAGTACTGACAATTTAACTACACAGTGTACACTTTTTTGTTTATAAGAACAATGAGGTTAAAATTGAGAGCAAGTTGAGACTGAAGCCAGGTAAAATGTCAAATGAAGTTTAAAAAAAAAAAACCAAAAAAAATATGTTACCTTATTTGCAGTTAGTGTGACTATGTAATGCCCTCTATAATAATACAATAGGCCTATAGTAATATACTGATGTACAATAATAATTTTCTGTTTGAAAATGTGTAAAATAAAAACAAATTAAGAACATTTTTTTTAGCCTAAAATCAGCCAAAATGTAAGAACACTGAGCCTGGGCAAACTTTTACTGGTTCATATAAAAAAATGTGTAACCTAGGCTAACCTAACTAAAGTCTTTCATTTTCAGTTCTAGTTAATTTGATCTTTAGCCTATTGGTCAGGTCAGTAGCTTGGAATTACATGGTTCTCATCTACAGTAGCACTTCGCATAAAATTGGATTTTCGTCTTTCATCAAACTTTCATCTTTTCATCAGTATTTTAATTAAGTAAAATTTTCCATAATATTTTTCAAGCATCACTTTCACATAATAAAGCCACAGATACACTTATAATACTGTAGGTGAAAATAAACCAAATTTTAAAAGTACTGTATTGTCAGCTGTACTATTTATTTTGGCACTGGACAGTATTAAAGAGCCAAAAAGATGAACTATTTGAAAGCAGAGACTAAAATTGTGAGCAGACGGCTGACAAGCACAGTATCATTAATTCCCTGTGGCCTTAGTATTATTTATGTATCTCACTATGGGGGGGGGGGGGAAGGGAGAGACAGACACAAACATAGGTAAAGTGCCTTGCCCAAGGAGGACACTAGCAAAATTCACAGGGAAGGGATTCAAAATTTCAATCTTGTGTGGAAAATGTTCGGGGAGTTATGTCAGGTCACTTTGATAACCTGTAGCCTAGATTACAATGTATGATTTTTGTTTTAATCACCTGTGTTTTAGGTGAGGCAGATTCTCGAGGGCCATGAAGCAGTTGTCGTCAAGCAGCTGTCCTACTCAACATCAGTATATCGCCAGCGGATTCATTGAAGAGGAAGACCAGGAGCCGACCAATGTATCACAGAAACGGAAAAGATCTTCATCTGCTTCTTTGAAGTTCAGTAGCCCTAAAGGTATGCGTTTGAAACAACATATGCACGAGTCTCAGTTATGAGCATCCATTTTCCCCTCACGCCTATTATCTCGTGTCATAAAGATGTTTATAAAAGATAAAATATATACTGTAGGCCGATTTTATAAAATTAAAAATAAAGAGAACTTGTCATTAAAATTGGAATACAGGCCATAATATTTTTTTTCTACTGTAGTTAGAAACTGTTCCTCTTACTTTGAAACGGGCATCCCTCAATAGAGCGCGTCCCCTTAATCGAGATTGGCCGTAGTGTTAAAAGATATATTTTCCCTTGTTTCACGGGAAAGTGTCCCATGAATAGAGGTGTCCCAAAGTAGGTGTCTTACTGTGTATTGTCTATGTCTTTGATTTGTTTTTTCTTTATGTATACAAACATAATAGGCCTACTTACTTAAACTCACTGTTTCAAAAAGGGGGAAACCTTGGAATATTATTACAAATTTATAGCCACTCTGCTTCAAATCCTGGATCCACCCCTGTTATACAGTGAGAAAAGTATGAGATTGTACAGTCGGGCCTTAAGCGAGTCGAATGTCCGAGCAGTTAAGGCAGGGTCACCGTAACCATAGCCAACAATAACGACACAGGTTCGCGGCCGCCTCGCTCCTAGTTCTGGTTGTGGAACAAGTCTTCTCGGATAAGGACTATAAATCGTAGGCCCAGCGTACACAAATGCTCATGTGCACTTTAAAGAACCGAGTACATCTTTTGAGATGAGTAGCAGGTTACCCTGGTTAACTGGCCCATACGACCCCTGTTGTCTTGTGATGGGATGGCCACTTTGAAGAGTGATTTAGTTCACTGTTTGCCATATCCTTGGCCCTCGTGCCTAAAGCTAAATAAAAAGAGTAAAGCTACTGTAATACCATTGTTATAACAAAACTATAAAAAGAAATATGAATAATAAGATAACACATTTTAAATATAGCTGACTAATATGTTGATTTCCAATGACTTTCTGTTCCACATTGTTTATTACTCACCTGTTTGATATTCAATATTGAAATAAATTTGAGTTTACATAATGATGATGGACAGAAATTGATTATTAGTGTAGTTATCATGCTCTTGATTTGCTAATTAATTTTATTGTTTTTTTTTACTCTTCAGAAGAAGTCCAGACAAGCATAAATCAGCTGTTAGACAGAGTACCAAAGGTCGATGAACTCTTTACAATTAGCAAAAAAATTGGTGAAGGTACGCAAAGGATACATTTTTCCTCTCTTGTGTGCACAATACAGCGGAGGATCCAGTAGGGAGCACAGTAGGCATGTGCACCTCCCCTCATTTTGCTGCTAAATTTTAAATATTTCAATGCAAATCAATGCTATGTGCTGCTCACTTATCTATTCTAAAATTGTTGTGCCCCCTCCCCCCCCATTAAAAAAAATTCTGGATCCGCCCCTGAAATATGTCATTATTATGTAATAACTGTTAAAAAAATGTAAATCTTTCAATAAAGTTTTCATCTCCTACTGTAGGTACTTTCAGTTCAGTGTACCTTGCTACTTTGAAGAAGTTTTCCAATCTTAATAGCCAGTTTGCTCTCAAGCACATCACACCGACCAGCCACCCCGATCGGGTGTCCTTTGAACTGTACTGCTTGCAAACAATAGGGTAAGATATCAGATCTTGGCTGGGGCCCTGTTAGAGCAGCCTCATGCTCAAAATTACCAGGCCATGTGTAAATTTCACATGCAATGTTCCACATGTGTTATGAGTGTAATTGATGTATACTGACACATGATAACTGCACAATTATTGATGTACATGATGATCCTCTTTCAAATGTAAAAAGTGAGGAAACATTTTCTGTGTAAAAATGGAATACAGTAAGACGTCCGTTTTACGTACCCCTTGTTACCAAAGGGTATTCGTATATTAAAAAATTTGTAAACTAGATCAGGTGTCAGTTTCCACTACCTAGGCCCAGCTATACTCTGCCACTGAGCACCGATAAGCTGATGGCGGCCAAGCCTAGTGCGAAACGGCAGTGCAGCAGAATGGTCCACCATGCTGCTAGAGCCTAGCTAAATTTACCTTCAAAAAACCAAATTATTGTAATTGCTGGCATTCTCCCGTTTAACAAAATATTGTTTTAATTTTTAATAAAACATCTGTATGTTTTATGGACCTTTCTACCATGTTCTTTCTAGTTTTTAGATCGCTGAATTGTGTTGTTTACATGCATTTCGTGATCATCTAGCCTTCACTATGTCTATAAGTTGTTGACCAAACACTCTTGTTTATCATCGTAAACATGTTTGTGCGCTCAATCCGACGGCTCCCGTTGGTAGTTATATAGTATAGTAAAAAAGGCAAAAAAAGATTGATCTATTAATAAATAAATACAACAAACCTGATTTTATTAAGAAAAATACATTATCACTTTGAAAAATGTATGCAATCAGACTTTTTTTACGTTATTAATTGGTTGATGATGGCGTCATGAAGAGCAAAGACCATTTGTAAAATGGACAATTCATAAAATCGACATTTGTAAAATGGACGTTTTACTGTATAAATAAAAAACAGTGAGTTGCATAGTAGATGAATCAACATATCCTTCTCATATTTTCAGTCTTTTTTCAACCTGTGAATTTTATTTATTTCTCTTATATCTCCAGTGGAGTTGACAATGTGATGGCAACTAAGCTATGTCTTCGAAACAGAGACCATGTTGTCATGGTGATGCCATATTTTAAACATGAGCGGTTTCAAGTAAGTGTAGGGTTAGGGCAACGAAATGTAAGCTGGTATAGAAACACAACCGTACATTAAGATATTGCCAAAAAATCTAGTGTCGGCTTGTTTTTTTTTTTTGCTGTTTTTGTTATCAAGACTCCGTGTATTGAGTATTCAGGCACAGGCCAGATGTATGCAGTCTGGTGTATCTGCTCTACTTTCAATCCGATTCTGGTTGGAAATTATCAAAACTGTTTGATCCTTTTAAATGAGCTAAACTTTTAATTTAATTTTTGTGTCCCAATTTCTTTTGGCAGATGTACATCCTTAAAAAGTGCTTTATAAAGATGGGAGGATGATCAATGTATTCATGAATTTTGAATTTTATTCTTGTTACAGGATTATGTGCGGGAGGTTGGTGTTGATGAAGTCCGTGATTACATGTTAAATCTTCTACTTGCCCTGCGGCGGGTGCATTCGTTCAACATAATCCACCGTGATGTGAAACCGAGCAATTTCCTTTATAACAGAAAGCTTAAAAAGTAAGCATGTCATTTTAAATGCAATCAGTTTTTGCTATGAAATTTTACCAACAAAAGTAGTATTAGATGAAAAGATGAGGTTATTATATGAGAGGTGAAATTTTAAAATCAAAATATATATAAGATATTTTTTATCAATGTAATACAAATATTTAACAAATCTTAATGCTTGTATGTTTAAATGTATAGACTTGCACAGGTGAACCTTGAAAATTCATATACTGTAGTGTTAAAATGTGTTCAAACACATTTTAATGATTTCTGTGTCTTGTGCACTTAAGTTGTGGGAATAAAAAAGAAGAATTATTTTTCATCCAAATATCTGTGGTATGTTTGTTCATGCAGGTCTTGATTGGGATGATTTTAGGAGTTAAAGACGACAAAACATAATTGAAAAAAAAAATCAAATTACAATTGCTTTATAATGTCACTTAGTACTTATGCAGATAATGTTCCTATGTATTTCAGAGCAGAGCTTATTCAAGAGTACCACTCATTTGATCATGTATGAAAATGTTTGGAAATATATCCTTAGTAAAAACATGGAGGAATTAATCAAAATTAAATAAATATAAATTAACTGAATGGTAAATATTAATTAACTGTCAATTATAACATAGTGTAAATGAATGAGTGATGCTCTTAAATAGGCTCTGCTCTCATATACCTTATAATAAATGACCCCCCCCCCTTTGAATACCATCCCCCTCTAAAGCCTCATTTTGAATAAACACTCCCTAATTGACTTAAACAATTCTAATGGAAGCAAAATCATTCTCAGCACATTCTATAAATGTTGTACTTTAGTAGAATTGTATTTTTTCTAACCTGGTGGGAATCAATTTGTCTTTATAATTATGCAATAACACATTTTTGATGGTAATTATGTGTTGTAGTTCCACATTTAGAGTGAAAAGAAAAGTTTGTTTGAGTATATATATTCATTTTATACTAAAAAAAAAAAATAAAAGCCTCCCTCAAATTTATGCCACCTTAAAAACCCTTCTCAGCAATATTCTGGGTTTTTTTTTCGAACAGCTTCTTTGCATCAATAAATATGCTACAACTTGAGCCAGAAGAACTTTTCAACACAAAGAAAAATTCACATAAATGTGTTCATTGACGAAAGAAGCATTTTAGTTGATGAATTTTTTTCTTATGGTTTCAAAACATAGATTTGCTTTGGTGGATTTTGGATTAGCGCATATTATTCCCTCGTCGGCAGTGATGAAGGAAATACAAGAGGAATCCAGGACCGGGTGCTCAACATCTCTGTCCTTGGCGTTAGCCTCTAAATCTAGTGGATCTTCGCATTTGTCACCAAGCAAGCGAAGGGCAAGGAGGATTATGTCGTACAGTGAAAACCAGGTAAACTTAATTGTCTGTGAAAGATGCACAATAAATGTCAATGAACCGATGAATCTAATAAATTTAATAACAGTATCTATATGTCGTTAAGGATAATCAAGTCAATAATCCCATCCATACTGTTTGATGTTTCTATCATTTCTTAGGTCATTATCGTTTATGGTGAAGACAAGCCAAACCAATCATCGTGTTTTAGCGATAATAGCCAAAACACGTTTTTGCTTTTGTTTGCACACGTTTGTACCTCAACCAAGATCTCGCCATCTTTTCATTTAAATACAGCTTTGTTGTTTTTTGCTTTACAGTATAACTAAAGTAATATTACAGTAAAACGTCCATTTTACGAACGTTGATTTTACAAATATTCAATTTTACGAATGGTCTTTTCCTCTGATGACGTCATCGTCGACCAATTATTACCGTAAAGAAAGTCTGATTGCGCATGATTTACAAAGTGATAATGTACATTTTTCATAATAAAATCAAGTTTGTTGTATTTATTTATTAACAGTTTGATCTGTTCTTCCATTTCTGGTATAATAATCACTATATTAATGTAATAAACCTAACCAGAACAACGAACTACCAACGCAAGTGTTGTTGGATTGAGCATGTTTACGATGACGAATAAGAGTGTTGGGGTCAGGAACTTATTGACATCAATGCTGGATATAATTGCGAAATGCTTGTAAAAAACACCATTCGGCGATCTAACAACTAGAAAGAACAGGATAGAAAGATCCTTAAAACATACAGATGTTTGAATAAGAGTTAAAATAATATTTTGTGAAGTGGAAGAATGCCAGCGATTAAAATAATTTGGTTTTTATCGAAGGTAAATTCAGCTAGGCTCTAGTGCGGTAGACCACGCTGCTGCACTGGCGGTTCGTACTGGGCCTGACTGCCGTCAGCCTGTCGGCGCCCAATGGCTGGTCCTAGGTATTGGAAACTGACACCCGATGTAGTTTACGAATTTTTCAATTTACGAGCACCCCTTGGTACCAAGGGGTACATAAAATGGACGTTTTACTGTATTTTACAAATATTTATGAAAAGGGCATATGAATTTTGTAAAGTTATTAATAATAGTTTTAAAATTAACATTTCATCCGTTACTATACTAAATTAAGTTTACGGTCATTTCAGATGAGAAGAAACATTCAACGAAGGCAGTCCGTTCCTGTGCCAAACAATGCCCGTCTATCTGAACGAAATCTAAACACATTAAATCAAAGAATTGCCAGCTCACGGCACGATGAACTTCAACGAAGACGTGAGCTTTCTCAGCAATTGTTTAAATCACCAAAGAAGAGTTCTCACCGGAACTCATCAGTCACAACAAAACCTACAGTAACCAGGAGCAAAGAGGATGTCAGATATCAGTCTAGGAGGATAAGCACTAGTACTAATAGGGGGCAGTGTTCTTGTTTCGGTACACAGAATACATGTAATATCTGTATGTCGAGGACCGTAGAGGTGGCCGCTAGAGCCGGTACACCTGGATTCCGGCCACCTGAGGTGCTCATGAAGTGTCAGAAGCAAACAACAGGTGGGCAGACTTTTCGGCTGACTTTTTCTGTGTCAAGTCTGTTTTCTACTAGGCAAATTTATTTTGCACGAATCAAAAGCGTCAAGTTTATGCCCATTCACATTTCTATTCAAGTTTTTTTTTGCTTCAGCAAAATTAGTATTTTGAACTGTTTCTACTTTTTGCGCATTGAAAAAATGTGCAATCAATCACAGTTCAGGAAACGAACCAACGCTTTCAATTCATGTGAATAAATTTGCCTAGTGAAAAACAGGCATTATGGCAATACTTTTCTATACCTTATTTTAGTGAACATAAAATTGAGTGGAAAAATACAATAAACTCTGTTTTGCCATTTGTCAAAATGGTATTTATAAAAGTATCAAAATAAGAAAAAAAATTTAAATAATAATAATTGACAAATAAGAAATACACACACACACACACACACACACATATACATATATATATATATATATATATATCAAATATAAATCAAGATAGCCGTTAACACTGTTAAATTATTATTTTATTTACACAATTTCTTTATTCATTTATTTACAGGACTACATTCGTTGAGAGCTATGCTACACGATGTATTATGTCCTTTATTCTAACACTGTATTTACCTTTCTTTGATGATTATTATTATATAGATCCATTCAAGAGTTAGTGAGTTGCTTAATGTTACATAAAAATACAAATGATATTAATTATTCAATATATTGGTTTTTTTTTTGTTGAGCAGCTGTTGATATTTGGTCGGCTGGTGTGATTTTCCTGTCTCTCCTAAGTGGGCGTTACCCCTTCTTCCGTGCTTCAGATGACATGACATCCCTAGCCCAGATCATTAGTATTATGGGTACTGACAAGATGAAAGAAGCTGCCAGTAGTTATGGTATGTAATTAATTAATTAATTTATTTATTTTACAGTATATTGAAATAAATTTTTTTTTTCTCAGAAACACATAAAATACCAATCATGTTTCTGGCAGGGGTGCCGCCAGAGGGGACACTGGGGGGGGGCTATAACCCCCCGGGGAACAAACAATAAAAAAAAATATTTACATGTAATATTCGTTTAGCCACCATATCGTTTGTGTTAACTTTTCATCACAACAACAACCACAATAACAATAATAATAATAATAATAATAATAATAATAATAATAATTCGATGAGACTAATTAAAAATAATTTGCGTTCTGTTATGACAAATGCTCATTTAGATAGCCTCATGATTGTTGGAATACATCGTGATAGGTGAAGCAACCTCGACCATGACAACGTGGTTGACAGATTTGACAGACAGCAGCATTTGACAGATGCAAAATACAAACATTTTAACATTAATGCATACGGTACCAGTGGCTTAAACGTCTCTTATGATAGCGATGGAACACTGCTGTGGCGTATCTAAGAGTCCTCAAATGTGGGGATGTTGGTGGGGGGAGGGGCGCAAAGGTGAAGTGGGGGCTTAATGATTGGGTGTGTGGGTGCTAGTTTGCAAAATAAATAAGGTGATTTGTAACTACTTGAGTATTTTTTTGTATGTATACAAGTAAAAGCATTTCAAAAATTCAATTAGTAAAGATAATAATTTTTTTATTAATTAATTGTGACAATTTTAAATATATACAATTTGCAACTTGCACTTAATATACTAAAATGTATTGATATTTCTAAATGATTAATTACCTAGAATTGTGATTAAATTGATTACAAGTTGAATTAATAGTTCAATAATTATATATACAATTAAAACATTTCAAAAATTCAATTAGTAAAAATAAATACAGTGTTATTAATTTTTTAATTGTGACAATTTTTAATATATACAAATAAAAACAACTTACAATTACAATATTGAAATTTATTGATATTTCTAAATTATTAATTAGCTAGAATTATGATTAAACTTACTTACAAATTAAATTAATAGTTCAATAATTACACATACAATTAAAACATTTCAAAAATTCAATTAGTACAAAAAATACAGTACTATAATTAGTTTATTAATTTTACTGTTAACAATCAAGAAAATGTAATTAAATTTAAACCCTAAATTTAGTGCCAGAACCAATATATAATAAATAAATCATATGTACAATATTTTCATTAATTAGATGGCAAAGATAAGACACAGTTGAGTTTTGTTTTGCAATGGATCTCAGTGATCTTATTTTTATTTCTAATTTTTTTCACAGGTAAAACTCTCGTGTGTAGCCCAACCCTGCCAGCTTTAAATCTCAAGACCCTTTGTGAGCAGTTACGGCAAGGCAATGCAGCTTCCAAAGTACTGTCCACAGAAAAACAACCTGACACATCAAATTCAAAGAGATCCAAATTATCAACTAAAAGAATATCTCCAAGTACACGAAAGACTTCTCCACGATTACGGTCGCACGTTACAAATGAAGAGAACAGTCATTATGTCTTTCCAGACTCTGCCTACAACCTGCTCTACCGACTACTGGATTTGAATCCGGCGACCAGGATTACGGCTGAAGCAGCACTTGCGCATCCTTTTCTTGCTCACAGCTCCTTCCAGAAATGACTTGTGATGACATCATTGAAAGTGATGTCATAATTAACTAGTAATGACATCATTGAATGTTAATGACATCATTAAATGGTGATACAGAATTGTGATGACATCTGAAAGGTGATGACATTGGATGGTAATGACTTGGAATGATGATGATACTGAATTATGATGTCATCTAAAAGGTGACACGATCATTAAACAGTGATGACATCACATCATTTAAACATGATGACATCATAGAATGGTGATGCAAGTTAAATGTGTTGATATTTCTAGTTGTGATGAACAATTTTTATTTATTAAAGCTCATACTCATAAGTGAAAGGCATAATAATGTTGTAGCCCACAGTTGATTATTGTGAAATAAAAACAATCCTCCTGATGAATAATTTGAAACAGCACTATTTGTGATTTGGGTCATAGTTGCATCACTCATTCTTCACTGTCGCGCTTGAAAAAGCTGTAAAAATAATCTGTAGATTAAATACAAAACATGTAGGCTTTGCAGTCATAAATTAAATTTTTTAATTCTATACAGAAATACTACTTATATGTATATATGAATTTTGAATAAATATTTATTGTTTCAATTATCATGTTTGTGTATAAGTTTATTTTGAACTGTTTAAAAGTATAGTATATAGTATTAGGTAGTTTTCACCGCACGACGTTAACCTAACTTTAACGTTAGTACCCAGCATGCAGCGCGATAGCTCCGCCCCTTTTATAAACAAATCGAACTACACATGCGCAAATCCGTAATTAACGTACGTCGAGCACGTAAAATCCTGAAATATTTATAACGCAAGGTGAATAAATTATGACGTCATCCGTTAACGTGTGGCGAAAACTGCCTTTTGATAGAGAGCTTTCGGTTGCACGATGATGGTAGGACGTAGAACATAATGACGTCACTGAAAGTCATCTGCGCATGCGAGAACGTTAAGGTCACCTCGTCGAGTAGATTCTGGAACGCAATTTAGTCACATCTACGTATGCAGTGATTCCGTTCTAACGTCGCGTCGTCGCACAAATCGAAGGTGTACGGTAAGAATGGCCCCAGTAAAAATGGCCCCAAATGACAAGTAGGTAAAAGTGGCCCCAATAATAAAATTCTGTATCAAAACTGATTTTTTAAAAATCATTATATGCATTTTTTAAAACTGAAATAATTTAGTTTTTAAAAGGAATCTAACATCAAATAAATTGCCATTTACATTTTACTTTTTGCAGAAATTACATATTCAATGATAAAATATTCAAAGATAAAAAAAAGCCATGAATAACACTTTTTATTTTTTTTCAATTTAAATGTTAAAAAATAGCAACAACATAATCAATAAATCAACATAAATCATGGGTTTTTCCGGGGTCATTTTTTTCCGGGGCCATTCTTACCTACATTCCAAATCAAAAGCTCCCTATTATTGGTACGGTCGACTTCAACCTGAAATCTCTAGCTCATATGGCACAACAATACTGTACTCATATTACTTGGTAGCTTATAGTTTTGGGTATGAGTCATTGCATCAATATAAGAATTTGCCTTTTTGTATGGTATTGGTCACTAGAGGGTTGATGTTTCACTGAGATGTGATACATACATGAAGTGACCCTTAGAGTTGAAAAATGTTGTCGAACAAGTTATAGTCTACTCACACTCCTACCACCCCTATACATGAAAGTAAAGGTAGGAGAATAACCCATAACTCGTTTATTGTGTGCTGAATTGCGTATGGGCGCGGGACGTGATCACCTAGTCGTAAAGAGGCGCTACATACATGTTCACATCATTACGCAACGACAGGGGCTGAAATAAATCATAGCATCGAGGTAACCCCTACTCTTCCAAAAGATGCATTGGAGTCTGTAAAGTGCATTTTAAGTGCTTATCCGAGAAGAGTAGTTCTACCCACTGAACCCTGACCAAAGAGCTGCTTGAACCAGCGCCGATGTTAAGGCTAGTTTAACTCGCCAAAATATATGTTATTTTTCAAAGTGATGTTTATATCAGAATGTAAACACATCTAAACGGGTAAAATATTAACGAATTACAGGTACTGAATATTAATTTTTAGTAAAGTTAAGAGGAAGACTCAGTGCCATTACCACCATAATTTGAACAAGGCTGCAAGACTAGACTAATTAGAAACAAATTTTACCTTGAATGATGATATTATTGACTTTGATATAAGTGCTGGTAATTATTTTTAAATCTCATTTTTCCAAAGACGGTTATAACATTAGTTTAGCAAGTGAAATTTTAACTGTCACAATAATGAAATCGTACTGAAATAATTTTAATAAGGATCGCTTATCTGTGCTTGTGTAGATTAAGAAACGGTGAATTATATGAGCAGGATTGCATTACTATTTACATGTGAAGTACGTCAGCTCCTATAAATTTCCCGGAGTTTACTGAGAATGTAAACATACGACCTCAATAAAATAATGTGGAAGACTGGAAATTAGCAAATGTAGCTCCAATCTTGAACCCGGGTAAGAAAGAAATGCGAAATTATAAACTGATTTCAATTAGTGCAGTAATTGGGAAAGTATCTGATTGTATTGTAGTAGTGTAGTAGATAGTTTTCCATCTTTTTATTAGCCCAAGCAACATGAATTTTTTGGGATATCCGAGCGCTATGTGACCAGTGTAGACCAAAATATATATGCCATTTTTCTTGAACAGACATTTTTTTCATGGAACATTTTCGTTGATGGGCTATGCCTGATACGTTTATAACGTCACTTGTCCTAAATTTGAGCATGTTTCTGTCATTACCAATTTGTTTATATTTATATAACTATAAAATTATATATATATATATTTACATATATACATATACATATATATATATATATATATATATTTATTTATTTATTTATGTCATTGTAACTATACGTGTGTTCTTGAAATTATGTCAGTCGTTGAAACAAAAAATTGTAACAAGGCACGTAGACTATAGAGCACTGTATTTATTTTCGTCTACCTCGTGTTTATATTAACTTGTAACAGCCAATCCTGTGCACTCAGTAAAGCTGATGAAGGCCAGATGTCTTATTATTAAGCCTATTATTTAGCCTCTCCTATGATATTTTCCTGACGCAAACTCACATCAAAATAGCATTTGGAGTACCCACTGCTACTTGGGTATCGGATTCAACATTCACTAATTGCGCAAACTCGGTGGTTTAGTGGTTGTGACACCAGGCTAGTTATCTGGAGGTCGGTTCGTTTCCCACCCAAATCACTTGTGAATTTTTTCGCAATATTTTGGGAACTTTCTGCGTATTCGGAACGATAACACGTTAGCTAGGGCAAAAACCCACTCCTATGATATTTTCCTCAAAATCACATCGAAATAACCTATTATTATTGTTAGTTACGAATACTACCGGTATTAATATATTATTGCTGTGTTCACCAGGGCATTAATGTTATTAAATCGTTAATCAATCTTCTCTTTAATACAACTGAATTCTTATCAAGTAGATGGAAAAGACGCAAATAGGAAAGCATGATTGAACAAACTTTAGGGTGAATTTACAGCTCAAATGGATACAGCGATAACACATTACTTTACAAATTGAAACAAAACCACCCTGATGACGGAAACTGCCCAATCATTGACACGGAAATCGAAGATACGACCTGCCGATACCAACATACGTTATCTACAACTCTACCATATGTTGCAAGCCTAAATTCTTAAGTACAATATGGTGTTTTTTTATTTCTCTCATCTATTAAACAAAAGGTAGCTTTGAAATGATTCACGAGAAATCAGTAAAATACTGGAATTGGCTTTGCTGATTACGAAGCTAGAATAGGACTGAAATACGAGTATCTAGGACTTAACATTTTGTAGGCGTTTGCAGTGCTTATTCAATAGAGTCCCTTATTTGGTCAAAGAGTACGATAATGTTTAGAAAATACTGTACACTAAGGTCTGGAAATTGAAATCACTAAAACACAACAACAACAACAGCACAAATGACAGGTTTCATGTATTTAAAAGAGTTGTTACAAATTTGCTGGTTATTTTTTTTTTTTATTAATAGGCCTATATTGTTGTGTAGTACAATAATAAGGCTTATTAACATAGATATATTTTTCTTTGTTCTTTAAAAGAGAATAAATTGCTTCACGTCGGGCGTGTGAAACTATCTTCTTTATCGCAATGCCATTCAAATGCTACAGCCTTATTGCTTTCCGTCGACTTTTTGCCTCTATTTTTAGCATTGTCTATCTCACAGAAATAGCCTAAGTCTACCCGCACAAAGCACAGTCGTTTATATAGGCCTTAGTCATACCTTGAAAAAAAGTATAGTACTCATTTTTACGAGAGTTTTTTTCCCCACTCCTTTTACTAGTGAAAATAAAATGGCGGGTTCTAAAAAAACACGTTACGTTCCGTCGTTGCGATATCATTACGTTTTAATGTTCAGCATGTTGTTGGAAAAGTAGAAGGCCACGTAGGCCTACAGCTAGTACTGAATGTTGGAGAGATCCTAGAAAGACGGCTCTGAATATATCTTCACGTAAGAGCCACTTCAACTTTCGTTGAATTTGTTTGGATAGGCCTGCTGTTATATTCTTACAGGTAGGCCTATAACTGAATCTATGAAACAATTATCATTACAAACTAGATATGTATTATTTTGGTGTATCTTTTGAAGCACCGTCGTGACGTGTGACGTCATTGTGAAGCCAGACTGTAGTTGTATAGTTTTCAAAAACATATTGTAAATGGTATGAATATTCATGATTTAATTCATTATACTTCAGATAAGGACAGTGACCCTGCAAAAGATGATAGTCGTAGGTCTAATGTCAATCCAAGTTATGTTTGATATGATTTGACGAGAGCATAATGAGATCGATTGCAATGTGGAAGGAACTTTGCCTCGCTAAGGTATGATCGTAACAATTTTAAGATATTAGTATATTTATTAGAAACACTGGTGAGAATCGGTTGTAATACGTCCAAACCTAATGCCCTTTTATTTGCTCTATGCCGCTCCGGTAGTCATTTTTTTTAAGTGTGAAGAGGCTGCAAGATACTCCATTCGCAATATCATGGCCTGTTTAAAACAATTTGTGTAGATAGGGTAAACATTATTAAACATATTATTATTAAACATGTGTACTTGTCGATTGCATCTCAAATTAAGCACCTGTAAGATAAGCAAAGAGCTCTACAACCGTCCAAAGTAATACAAACATTGAAAGTTACAGCCAGCCTGTTAAATTTATGCACTCATAAGCAACCATAACTGCCATTGTTTTTTTACTCCGCAACAACTTGCAGTCCACAGATAGTAAATTTGCTCTTAATAAGGCTTCTGGCTAAGATTTTGGGTCCGCCTATGGGCTGGTGGGTGCGTAAGGTCATAGAAGTGGTTGTAAGCGAACTCCCCTTCCGCTGCGTTTTAATGGCTATTGGTGTTTTTTTTTTACCTTCCAATGATTTGACTCCTCCTCTTATACTCTTATACTTTCGGAGTATTTAGGACGTCGGCTTTACCCACCAGAACCAATAGCCATTGGTTCGAGAGTACATATAAACTGGCTGACCAGGTAGTAACAAATATTACTCTTTTACTGAGGTCCATAGCAAAAACATCTTCCGCAGATGTGTTCGGAATGTTTAAGGACATCCTATTCTTACCAATATGATTCAAAAAAACATTAGGCCTATAAAAATAGGCCTATTCACAAAAGCGATAATAATATGCCTATCTTGTCCCTAATGCTATAGAGTGGGCCCAGATATCTCATAAACATGCTATCTGGACAAAGAATGTAGTTCCATGACCAAAATCATGACCTAATCACAATTCGTATTTTAAATATAGTGAATAAGGGTATTGTCAATGCTATAATGGTTAATGGTTTTCAATTTATAAAGCGCAAAATACTAAGAGTCTCTAAGATATAACTATAGATACAAACACGAACATATTATATATAATACATTAAATAAGAATGACTATAGCCTACTTAATAACACGTAATTCGAAACATGTGTTACGAATACACAGAGCTATGCATTATCTCATTGAACTCTTGATTGTCTTTTGAAATAATTTTACAGCTCCATGTTTGAATCATGCTTGAATTGTATCAAATTTTTAATTCAGTTCTGTGTTTTCCTCTGCTGGTATTCACCGATTACTTTGTAAGCAGTTTGTATTATTTAGTCAATTCTTGGTTTGTTTATAATAAATAGACAATGTCGGTATTCCTTCATGGACACTGAGTTCTACAGGTGATAAAGGTATACTTAATAGAGCAATATGAATCAGGGACGATCCAGCTTTTTGTGAAAGGTTGGGCTTATATAGGCCTGCATTTAATAGGCCTCCATGGACTTAAAACAAACTCATGACTTAAACTTGGTATAAGCCTATTTATAATATAGGCCTAATTATGTTTGTTTTCAGAGGTGAAGCAACACCATATATCACCATGTACGCGATGTACTTCCATTTCAATAGCACAGTAGAAAATTTCCTGTTTAAAGGCTGGGAAGCAACTGGCTCAGTTGGTAAGAAAACACCGTAATTGTTAACATTTATGAATTGTAACTATCAGTGGCGGATCAAGAAATTCGAAATAGAGGGGCCTAGGTAGAGACTTTTACAGATGTAGGGTCTATACCACCTCAGCTCACTATGGTTGGGGCTGAAGTAAGAAAATTTATGATTATGGCACCTCTTACTCTCACACTGGAGTTTTCTGTGCTTGCCAGAAACTCAAATTCGCCAGAGGTACGGCTTAAAAACAAATATTGTTCATTCTTGCGATTTTTTAAATTGTTTGCACCTGCGATATTTAGTAGTTACTAAAATGCTTACCGTAATTCAGAGGATAAACCATGCTAAATAATCAGTTTCAGTTTCTTTTATTTACATCAAACTCGCAGCCAAGGCCTGAAATACATGTTATTTACAAAAAAAAAATGTACTTTAAAACATCAAATCCTCATCAAGCAAAAGCACAAGACAGGAAAAATGGAGATAAAAGTGACATAAAAATAGATTAAAATTTGAAACATCAGAAATTTACAAAAAGATATAAAAACGTTATATTATACGTAATTAGATCAATTTTTTTAAATTATTAATTATTGAATCATTACTACAGTATTATTTATTACTTTATTGTATTAATAATTATTCTATTATTATTATCATTATTATTATTAGGCCTATTGTTATTATTATTATTATTATTATTATTATTATTATTATTATTATTATTATTATTATTATTACCAAATAGGCCTAGGCCCTATACAAAAAAAAAATCGAAGGTGAAGTGAGAGGGGTCGATGACGTGAGTTGGAGCTAACTCGCAAAATATGTGATATGAGGTGCGATACGAGGTGCTTTTTATCTAATTGAGTGTGATTTTTTTTGCTTCGAACATTTTCAATTCGGTGGGGGACACTGGGTTGGGGAGTATTTTAGTGGCGTACGCCCTCCCCCAGATAAGCCACTGACTGTGTCCAGTATCTTTAGCATATAGGTCTATGTTAGTTTTGTTATTTTTTTGTACATTCTGTTATGTTACTTTCTTTATTAGAGTTTATCTTCACCTGTCTGTTTGTTTTCACCTTGGCTTTTATTTACGAGCTCTTCATAGTCTATCGTGACTTATGCCTTCATAAAAATGTTCAACAACGATGCGAAGAAAATGCTATTGACCTACCATCGCCGTCGGAGAAATCAAGAATACTAGGAGAGGCACACGGGGAGGAAGAGTATGTATACTTCATCTTTTGCTCTTATTCAGCCTATTACAACGTCTACCTACCGACGTTGATAGACTTTTGATACAGAAAAGAGTAACAATTTTCAAAATGTTGTAGGTGGAAATCGACTTGCGTTGCGGCTTCAGGACCCAACACCATTAACAAATCCACAACCACAACCGTCAATCTTCATAATTGGATAATAATAGGAGTGAAGTTTTGCCCTACCTGACGTATTATCGTACCGACTCAGTACGTCCCCAAATACATTACTAGCGAAAAGAATTCGCAAGTGATTTGGGAGGGAATCGCACCCACGACCTCCAGGTAACTGGCCTGATGTCTTAACCACTAGACCACCGAGCTTGCGCTTGGTGTCTAGTGATGAATCCGATACCGAAGTGGCAGCGGGTACTGTGAGTGCTCTATGCCAGGTAGGGCAAAACATCACTCCTATGATATTTTTCTGACGCAAACTCACATCGTAGTAATCATTATAGTTACAGTACTATAATCTACAACCATCGGCATTTTCATCATCCCCATCATCATCATGTTATCATCAACATCAGTATATCATCATCATCGACACCATTATCATCATCATCATGACATCTTCATAACACCATCATCATCATCATCATCATCATCATCATCATCAATACAGCCCAAAGCCACTACCATTAATAACCATCGTCATTATTTCAATCTTCGCCGCCGTCATCATCATCGACATCATAATTATCATCACCGTCATCGTAATCATGGTTATAATCATCATCATGGTTATAATTATCATCGCCATTGTCATATAAATAATCCAGCCCACCCGACAACCGTTACAGGTATCCAAAATAATGGAGATTTTCATTGGTCAAAATATTTAGCAAATTATGGTATATAGGTACCGTACTTATAATTAAAACAAGATAAAGTTGAATCAATTTTGAAAATTGCAGAGTAAAATTAAGTCTCCTAACCTGTTTAGGCCTAACAATATCCAAATAGCCTATGTTTATATTAATGTTTACTGTAGGCCTACTTTTACTTGCTTTCGATTGTTTGTTGAGAAATTTTAGAAAAGAGCAGTAAGGCATATTCGATGACTGTAGAAAAGCATACGGTTGCAATAAAGCTCCCTATAATTATTTTCACTCGACCTTTTGGTACTTCATATTGTGCGAACACGTTATGAACAGACAGGATTATAGGTAGTTTTGAAACAGAGGGCGTTATAACAATACACCGGTTGGTGGGTAACAGAATGCAGTCTGTAATTTGAATTGTGATCGAAGATGAATTTCACTGTTTTATGCAGTTACACAATGATCTTAGATCTCAATATTGCTAATTATATGATTCAATTCAATATATCTTATTTACATTGTAATGGGTGATTGAAGCCGTCGTAACAGGGCTGCAAAATTTGCCAAACAAAGTGAATGCACAGTGTATGCATGTTTTTTTGATTTCACGAACTAACACAATTGAATTTAATTGTGTTAGTTCGTGATGTGAGCGACGGTTTATTAGTTTAATATATGCCGGGCCCTCACTGCACCCGACGGTCGTCGGCCGACGCGATTCTTTGGAGAACGCAACGCCATGACGCGAGCGCAACGGATCGTTTTTAATGACGATCCGTTCAGACTGCCATCGACTATCAGCAGACGGCGTCGCGTCGTCTAGCGCTCACAGGGAGCGGAGTTGGATTCGTATGCCGACGGTCGATCGTGCGACACAGTGTGTGCACGGCTTAATACATGTTATTCTCATGATTCTCCTGTGTCTTGACGTGTTCGCGCCACGAATGTTTTAGTGTTTTAATTTATGTTTTACTTCTATGAATGCTATGCTGAGTGACATCCCGTATCATCGGTATGTTTATGTTGTCTTTCACTAATTTAATATTTATTTGAATTCTTAATGCCTGTATATATTGATGGTGTTTTGCCCCTCAAAATTCAGAATTGGCTAGTCTCTGTATACGAAGGGTGTCACTGCAATAAAGTTAAACTAACTATACTATGGCATCAATTCTCATTTAAAGGAGATTTATTCAACCTCTGCACATTCAAACATCATAAATAACACGAACATCATTAATGTAAATTTACGTCTTATTTTCTCAGGATCGGATTGTTGACATCTGCTCATATTTGTCAGACGATAGCGTACGTAGTGTTTGTCGCAGTACGCTACATACTTATGCTGGTTGTGATGACTTTCAATGGCTACCTGTGCCTGTCCCTTCTCGCCGGGTCAAGTCTAGGGTACTTTCTCTTTGCATGGAAGAAGATTACTATAGTGGGCCTACAACCTAACAATTAGGACCATTTGACCACGTGGGTTGTAAAAAAGAACATTGAAAAAGTTAACGGTGCTAAGAACAACGAATGTCGGACATCTCATAGACCTATCAATGATTAATCAGCTTTGGGGCCGTGGTGGCTCGTGTTACTTGTCGTCATATAAATGTTAGTTTCCATAAACCCGCTACTCGCTAACGCCAACAAGTCTTTTTTGCGAAGCGTAGAATCGAAAAGTATTCCAGAATGATTTGGGTTACACAGAGTTCGATTGAAATGTGCGACTGTTTGCCAATTTTATGGAGGGCACGAGAGCATCGAAGACCGAAATGACTGCGAATTGATCTACTGTAAGATTTGTGCAATTTGCCTGGTATACAATTTGTTACAGAGGTGTTGGGTAGCATTGGGCAGGTTCCAATTTGTCTAATATTGGGACGAGTTGGTTTGGTACGAGGTGATGGAGAAACCAATCGACTAATTAGTGTGTAGGCATAGGACTTGATTTGGTCATGATCGAGTTGTATACATCTGTAAATTTAACATATTTGTTTTTAAATAAACTATAGCTATATTGAATTTTAATAAACATATTTACATATAGAATTACAATAAAAAGTGTGCACATTAAAAATATTTATATAAGTGTTACAGTATTATATTTCATTTTGAAAAGTATATATACTGCGAAATGTAAGAAAACTGCAGCTGATGAAATAGACAAAATTGATTCTATCGTGAATGTAAGTAGGGAGATTCTAAAACAAACATTGTTTAACATTTGAATATAGTATAGACGGATCTAACAATAGCAGGCATATATTGTCTACTTCATTTAGTGCTAAAGCAGTAAAGTTCATAATAAATGTAGGGAGATTTTTACGTGGTGCTACCGTATATTATACCTGTGTAAATTCTTTTTTATCGATGTTATTCAAAATCACACGTCAATAAATTTAGATTCTGTTTCGATAAACGTTAAGAAAATGACTACCGTTAATGATCGAATAGTAAGGGCTTCTCTCGAATAAGCGCCTTACCAAACTACTATCATATTTAGCTAATACACTAATAAGCATCGAAACGATTTATTCGTTACTGTGGCTTGTTAGATGTGTATAAGAGACAGGTATGTGATAACAAATTAGACTTTTAGTCTTAGGCCTGCACACGTGGTAGCATTCTGAGATGATGGCCTAACAATTTACTCTTCGAAAGCTGACAAATACGAGGTTTACGAAACTCTTCTCACCAAGTAAGTAATACGAAATACCAAAAATGTATTTTTAATATAAGGCCTATAACGAGATACATAAGGTGTTACACAGATCGGCAAACATTGAACAAATATGAATAGAAAACATAGTTCTTATAAAATGTGAAGTGCACCGCCCTGTACGGCTCAACAGTATATGCGTTTACTCATACATTATATACACAATATAGACGCGTGGTTATATTGACTTTACGCAAACCGTACTAATAATATCCAATTTATACAAATTTTCATAGTTTATAAAACCGGGCACACAATGTTCGAGGTTCGAGGCTCGTATGACCGTCGAATCCATCACCGCTCTCAGTGAGAACTTGACGATGCGACACCGCCTCTTTCCTGATTTGATACTGGTGGCAGACTGAGCGGATCGTCATTAAAATGATCCGTTGCGCGCGCCTTGTCTCTTTGAGTTCTCCATATTTCTTCGGCTGACGACCGTCGGCACAGTGTGTGCCCGGCTTATGTTTGCCTGTTGTTTAATTATTTACCCTGGAGCATAGACAAATATAATGGAATCGCTCCTCGTATTCAGGAAGCAAAACAATGTACCTGAATAGGACGGGCGATTCTATAATTTTCTTGAGGCTATGCTGCAGTTTCGCCCATCATACACCTAAACGCCTAATCAGTAAGAGGCTAAAAGTCTCGCCTATTTGTCACTGACATCATCTGGATAAACAGAAAAAAGCTTAATTTTAAGTTAAGTTTTAAGCCCACTATGCACAATGAGCTATTAATTTTACATTATAACAACATTATAATCAATGTTGCAGTATTTTTGAAATTTTATTTAAAACGTATTTTCCATATTAAACCATATAAATACATATTTATAATAAAACAATACCTGATTAAATAACGTTAACGTTGAAAGCGTTACTGCAGCGTTTTTTGTTAACGCTATTTTCTGTCATAACCTAAACACAACGTCCACGAATAATATTTGCTGTAAAAGGCATCATAGACCTATGTGTTTGTGAAACTGAAAAATATGGTGTATATTAAAACAGCATTCCGTGTGTTGTAACTTTCTTTAGAAGATGTTGATGGACGTCCCCTTCCACAATGGCCTTCCGTGGCTCCCTGAAGAATTTGCTTTTCAATTCCAATAAATCGGATACAAATTTACATACTGTACATATAGGCCATATATATATTATATACATGTAAGCAAATATCGGTAAAAACAATGCCGAATAACAACAGCCCGTCAGCGAAAAAGTGTCTTGTCAAGTATTATTCAGCTCCTCTGACGAGCGTAAATTGATTGTGATTTCACGCTTACAAGGCCAGTGTTATACCGCTGTAGTACGGAGGCCTGTTTGTATATCCAGGGAGTTGTATATCACAGATCTATTCCAGCCAAACAAATCATTCGCTGTAACGGCATGGGTTATATTACTGGTCTCTTTGTCAAATAAAATATTCATATAAACAAATGCACAGTACATCCCGTACAGCATCGTCATTTTGCGTGCCCACAAATATTGCACGCTTCCCAATACAATTCTCCCATAGTCAGTATCATTGAAATCGAATTAACCATATCATTGCCTTATCTCTTAAAATCCAGCTGTTCATATAGGAATTTCAAATCCAGATTAAGATTCCGACGAAATGCCGGTTATTTACTTCTGTGCACCCCTATTGAGCACCATTTTCAAGACATTTACTCGTTTCCTTCACATTTGAACATCAGCCATTGGTTGAAGCATAGGCCTACTGTACTTGTTGGAACCATGCCAGCGAGTTCGAATCATGGACGCTGCAAGAATCGGTAAAACACTCAGAATCGCGTTGAAGCTCTACAACCCTACAATACAAAATAATTTGATATTATTTAGTAATTTATTATGTTGAAATTTGATCGAAATCACAATCAGCCGGGAACGTATGATCCTAGTTCCTATAGGAAATTTATCATGTATCAAGTATCCATATAGATTACTGTGTATATAATTTGGACGCGTGCGTACCCTCGATCATACACACTCCCTCAAAGCCTATCTGTTAATATAGAATTAGCACATGAAAGTTAGCATATGATAGCTTGATCAGTAACAGTTTAATTATAATGTTAGTATTTTTTTAGTTGGTAAGTTTCACTTTACCCTGCGCTCACTCAGCGAGCTTGATGAAGGCTGGTGGTCGAGCGGTGCCTGGTTTGTTGACTGTCGAAACATGACAGACGCTTGAGTGTGATTCGAAGAAAATCCACTGAAAGACAATTCGTGAGTGTTAGCGCATGCCTATACATTACATTATATAATAATATATAATATACGAATTAAATTACCACCCCCCCCCCCGCTCATGGGTAAGCCTACACTCTCCCTTACGCCAATCAAGACACACCCTTATCTCAGCATGGATCTCACACGTTGAATCAGGGTTGAATCACCCTTCATTTACATCCAAACCCACACACTTCAGCATGCGCACTGGCAATTCCCGAACAGTGCACAAAATGTAGAGAAACAATTATGTCATAATTGTATAAAGAATATAGATAGAATAGATATCAAAAAATCATAGGCCTAACTTTTAAGATCAATCAGACGCATTATTATTTATTGCTTTTGCTTGTTTCACTACCTCTGTCTGTAAGCAAACTTCCTTTTTGTGGAACGTGTCCTAATTTGGCATAAGCATACGACTAGCAACGTTGCGGTGGGCGTGCCTAAGACGATGGCGTAAACAGAAATCTCCACCTTCTTTTCCAGCGTCCATGAAATTTCTTCTGTAGGCCCAACTTCTAATTATTTAAATGTAAAAATGCATGTCATTATATAGTACATGTATAGAGGTAAATAATTCAATATAATATATAGGTAACTATAGCTGACATATCAGATGTACCGGTTATACATTTTATTACATAAAAAGATTAATGTAAAAAGATATATAACCTATAAAATAGAAAGGCGCTATAAATTACAAGAGTGATATATAACATGTTGGCCATTATGATCAAAAGATATCCTAACCACGTATGCTTCAATATATATACAATAAGTAGACACAAAAGAAAAGAAGGTGCCTACTTTGAAGCATAGATTTTATTTTTAAAATGATGTGATATATATATATATATATCATTATATATATACATATATATAATATATATATAGTATATATATTTATAAATCGTCAAAGATATATATATATAGAGATATTTTTTTTTTATATATATATATATATATATATATATGTATATACATATATGAATTCAATACAATATAGGTAACTATAGCTGACATAAATTGATGTACCGGTTATACATTTTATTACATAAAAAGATTAATGTAAAAATATATATAACCTATAAAATAGAAAGGCGCTATAAATTACAAGAGTGATATATAACATGTTGGCCATTATGATAAAAAAATATCCTATCCACTTATGCTTCAATATATATATATACAATAAGTAGACACAAAAGAAAAGAAGGGGACTACTTTGAAGCATAGATTTTATTTTTAAAATGATGTGATATATATATATATATATATATATATATATATAAGCATGTTATAAGCATAGATGAATGAAAGACCGATAGATGAATAGTCTGATTGATAATATTAAAGTACATGAATGAGCACGGCGTATGGATGAATGAATGGATAGACGGAATAAAACAATTCCAGACTTACCTTTTTCATAGTAACATAGCTGGACCCCGTCCCATTCCACCGATTTCATTTCTTTTAGTTTCAGTTTTTCAGATGAGGTAACACTGCCCTCTATGCTCGGGCAAGTACCGTCGTTGGCAGACAGTAGATAGTACGGTGGTAAAAGATTCAGTAGTACGTTAGTAGGCCCAGGCTTGTTTGTACTGTTCGCCAATCGACAGCACCTGTCCAGAGTAACACGTGATGACGATGGTGATAACTCAAAGAAGTAATATTCGGTAAACAGTGTATCTGTTGAAGAGAAAGACACATGATCTGTTCTAATATTTGATGTGATGTGATACTCCCTCCCTTCATATTTACCTATTGGAGTTTTCGAATTATTACTAATTTGAAATCGCAGCTAGTTCGTTCCCATAATGCAACGTTATTAATTACGTGACGAGCCGTGTTGATTTTTTTGTCCGATCGCGTGCGCACCGCAATATCTCATAAATTTCGCTTGGTCACGTTTGGTCAGGCGTAATAGCACCTGGACCACGGCCAATGTTTCGTGTACAGTAATTTCATTGTATCGACGTGCAGAATGACAATGCTATACGGGAGTTCACCAATAATTACAAAAATTCAGAAACTTTGAGGAGATTGAGGGTTGAACGTTCTTACCGTCGTGGCTTAAAATAGATATGTTGATATTATCATAAGGCGCTCTTAAGGTGGAGCGCTACGTACGAAGAATTGTAACTGGGATACATACGGTACATGGGAAACAGAATAGCCAATCTTAAATAAAAAGAAATGTATTTATTTTAAACACCCAAAAGAACAAAGTAAGGTAATAAAAATCAACACCCAAAACCAAAATATACTGTAATACTTTTTTTTTTATAAATTAAATAAAAATAAATGGATGTAGAAAACTATACAAAAAAAAAACTGGATTTGGTATAACTTTCTAGACATCACAGCTAAATGAGTCAATTGGAAGAGCACCCAGATAAAATCAAATAAAATTCCAATGGAAACAATATACGTCTATCTCTAAAACTATAATTATCATAGTTATCCCTGATGAAGACGTTTCAAAATAACTATACCAAACTTGCATTACCATATTTATTCGAATAAACGCCCCGATTTGGATAAACACCCCCTCGAATAAGCGCCCCTCCAGAGTCTCTTTTGGCCTCACTCGAAGAAACAAAACTGATGGAAGGCAACACACTCTATTAATGTCCTACTCTTAGCAGAATTACATTTTTTCTAATCTAGTTAGGAACAATCAGTCTTTATATTCACGCAATAACACAGTTTGACGATAGTCTATTTATGTGTTGTAGTTCCACATTTTTAGTGAAATTAAGGGGCGTTTGTTTGAATATAGCGTATCCATTTTACACACACACACACACACACCCACACACCCACGCACACCCACACCCCTCATAAAACCCTTCTCAACAAAAAAGCCCCGGGGCAGCTACGGTTGGAAAAGCCGCAGCCGACCGGTAATCGGAGTTTCGGATTCGAATTCTATAGGGGACATTATTCAATAAGTGAACATTAAAAAATGAAATTATAATCGCCACTTTAATAATCATCTGTGAAAATCGAGAAGAGAAAACCAGTGATTTGGTAAAACTTAATAATTATAATCTGTTTTAATAAACTGTACTGGTATTTGAAAAACAAATTTATTAAAAGCATGTATAATACTGATTCTAATTACCTCTGTAAAAATGATCCGGGCAAACGTTTTCTTCATCATCGTTGAATATGCTAATTAATACAATAAAACAATAGTTGTCATATGCCGAACCGAAGCGCTGCTGTTGGTGGTCGCCTGCTGGCCAGACACAAAAGTGTAGCTCTTGTATATCGCCACCTTTTGTCGAGTGAGAGAAATGTGGTGCCTCGGAAATATTAAGTACAGACGATATATTTGAAAGACTGAGACGAGCTGTACTCCAAGAATCTTGAATGGTAAAAAAATATATTTAAAGTCAGGCTCCGGAGGAAATTTTGTTTGATATGTTGTACAACACACAAAGCATATTTGACGAAAAACTCGGTAAGGGTTACAAATTTTTAAATATTTAAAAATGAAAAGGTGGAAAATGGTGGTTACGCCTCCCTCTCCCCCCCCCCCCCCCCGTTTTTAAATATTCAAAAATTTGTATCTCATTAACCGTTCCCGAGTATTCCGTCAAATATGTTTTTTGTGTCTTAGAAAAATCATTTGTACAAAATATCATTTTCCCCCTCTGGAGCCTGGTTTTAAGTTTACATATAAACATTCATCATCATCATTGTTATTTATAGTATTTAAAAATTAGTATTATCAAGTAGTATAAGCCTATATTTAATTACATTCAACTAACTCGCCATTGAGAAAGACTAGTTATATGCGAAAGCGCTAGTTCTATTTCTGGCTGTTAAGTTAAGTTTACATTTGTTTTGCTTATCAATCTAGCCATTTCTTCCCATAGCATTGTTGTGTTCTGGTAGGGGCCTATAGATTAATGGAAAAACACTAGGAAACAACAATGCTGTTGGAAACGATCTATGGATATCGGTGTGATCTTTCATACTGCGCTACAGGATGGTCCAGGACCACTAACATAACCTGCAAGGGGGTGGAGGAACATTTAGCGACGCCAGTTTTCGGCCAAGTCATAGCACCCTACCTATTTTCAAAACTTTTCTACGCCCCTCCTTGAAAGCCATTATTAAATATAACCACCTACCCTGACATCCGGTTTTCGGCATCGGCAGAGCGTCTAACACGAATGTGTTGTTTGTAGTATCATACGGTGTCCCAGTTGGTTCACCTTCTAACAGCAACTCGGACTGTGTCGTCCTATACATTTTGCTAAGAGCCGGTGATAGCGTCACTGTATTCGAGTCGAGTCCACGCGTGATACCATTTGTCCCGGTCGAAAACTTCCATGACAGTACAACTAAATAAAAACAATAATACTAATGAATTTTTTGCCGAAGCAACCTTCAAAGAATAACATAATTAGTCTATAATGTGATGATTGTCAGTCGTTAGGTTCTGTCACGATTGTATCTTAGTGTACATTATATTAGTTTCCGGCTTCATCGTCCTATTCCCATTCAAAATCCGCAATCTTTATTGGCTGTATGTATCGCATGCATCATTACAGCTAGACGCTCGTATATAGGCCTACTGCGCGTATGAGACCATAACCTATTGCCTTTACCCTTACACATAAATATAATATTTTCTATCGCCACTACTGTTTAGCGTCACCCCAGAATTGTGTTCATCAATGTATTGTACCATTTTACTCTCCCACGCGCAACATGTTGTAAATAAAGTGCACAATCCCGTGTCAGCCTTGACACAACTCGCCGCCCCCGCCATCTAGGGTATATTACTTACTAAGAAGACTTGACATCAACAGCCGGTTTGTGTGCATCCTACATCCAAAACACATCCGGGGTTTTGAATCCGTCTCAATCATAACTACCAAGTCGCTTCTTCACAAACCTGCGATACAACAAATGGCTTACAGCATAATGAATCAATAAATACTACTGCCAGAATTCTATATGGTATTTATTTATCTACCTAGCTATACTTTTTTTTTTTAAATCTGTGCATATATCCAAGCTTTCTTTACATGAATAGAAACAGTAACTGTATGCCTAATGAATAAAATGATATTATTCTAAAATATTAAGGAGAGGATGTTGCTTGTATGTGTTATGGAATCTTGTAAAATTTACTTACCCGATCAAATCATTCAGCACGCATAAGCTTAAAGGCATACCGTCGCGCTGCAAATTATGCCTAACAATATATAGGTTACACAAATAGGCGTAGGTACGTAATTAGTGTAAGTTTATAGTAGGGTATTAATATTAACTTAAAACTCTTCAAATCGCACGGCTGAGATGAGGTATATTCAGAATTAGCTATAGGTCTATATTTCAGAATTTAATAAAAGCCATCTACCAATTATTTTCTTAAAATCGTTTAGAATACAAAACGTTTGTGACTCAGAAAAGGAATAATGATATTCCAAATAATAAATATGGGAAGAAACATGTATAGTCAAGAACTATGGTTATAATGGATGTACTTAAAATAAATAAATAAATAAATAAATAATAATAATAATGATAATAATAATAATAATAATATATAATAATAATAATAATTATAATAATAATAATAATTATTATTATAATAGTAATAATAATAATAGCAAATTTGCTTCATCTCTCGGGAGCATAATCCCTCTTACTCTGTGTGCCTATTGTATATTTCACTATAGAACATTTATTTGGCCTTAAGGTTCTTGCAGAAAAATCAATCATCTTAAGATTATAATTTCACTCTTCTTCTGATGATTGATATGCTTCTATTGTGTTATGACACTGTGTACACGAGGGAGCGCAGTGAGAGTATCTCCAGTATTCTTAAGTATGTTGTAAACTTAAATTAGATACTTGTGGAAAAGGTAAAGCTTGAAGTAAGAAAATTAAAGCCTTTTCTTCTATTGTTTAGTCTTGCCAATTCGTTCCACTGATTATCGTTACGCACACTCACTCGCCACTCATATGAAACACGTGGAAATCGTAGTACTTTATTATATTTGACTTGACATTAGCTTTTGATTATCCACCTTCACCTGAAGAAGAACACTATGTGCTCGAATCTGTGACAAGTAATAGTACTGTAGTAGTCTTTAAGTATTTATTATTATCAGACTAATACGGCTCATCCATTTTTACACACTCTCATGAACATTAACATTACAATGCTCTAATTAATTCTATACTTAAAGACAGCAATAGTATCAGCTTCTCAAATCAACTCAAACAATACAACATTCACATAAATGAAGATCAATGCAAATATTAGAAAAATATTAGGGGTTAAATGAAGATTTGTATGAGAAAGAAGTGAAATGGAGTATAGCAAGGTAAAATAATGAGATTGACATGCCCGACCACATGCTTCGGCTCCAACATAAAACTCCTACACATATAGCTTATCACGAAGGAAACAGGCTTATTGAAAGGCCAGTGGGAAAACAAAAATCAATAATAGTGTTAGCAAACATATAAAAAGAAACAGAATTTTACAAAAACTCTAAACAGTGTTCAGCTGAATGTAACCGCACATGCTGACGGAAGCAAGTGAAACGAAAGGTTTGGAGACGAAATGTGTTACGATACAAAAAGTATTATAATATTTAAAAAAAGATAGTTATATTTTAGCTATGTTTTCTTTATAGAGAGAGCAAAAGATACGGTAACTATGACGCCAGAGTCAGATATATATATATATATATATATATAGTGTATTTTATGTATTAATCTAATACGTTAAAGTTAAAAAAAAATGTGTTTATGCTCTCCCACGACAAAGTAAGAAAAACAGCGATATTTAGTATTGTTACACAGATTTTACATTAAAAACGACCCATACAAAAGGTATTAGTCTGATACCTAAAGGCTATATTCACAATGATAAATGAATCGCTCCCGCTACGCTAATCACTCTTTTATTTCTTTTACTAATTGAGGTATATGTTGCTATTAGGAATTATGGCACGTCTAACATGCATTTTATAATTACTTTGTTCGAAATCTCTGAGTGCCAACCCAAGTATATTATAAGACGTAGGCTAGCTAGCCGTAATATGCTGGCCAGCGATGAGTATTTATTATCAATGATTTCATGGCAATGACATCTATCTATTCTTGGCCTTGTATTATTCAAACCAGCCGCGTATTGGCATTCTAAATCAATGTATGCCTAGAAGGTAGGCATATGCCTTTAGTAAGTAACGCACAAACAATATATGTAATAAAAATGAAAATAATATGTAATTACTGTATAGCTAAATTACTGTATAGCTAAAAGCGACCAATGCTAAAAGCTCATTTTGTTTGCCATTTAATCACTGCATTTGATACGTAGCTCTTGTAAGCACTATTCTCTTGTAAGCGACCGCAACCACCTTTTCAACAAACACAACTTTACATTAATCTGTGATCATTACATATTAATTATTATGTTGATGTATTGATTATTTTTAGCTGAGACCCGACATCACATTAAGTTTTGCTCTCAGCAATGCGTATTCTTGTTTGCGACCTCCTCCCATGAAAGCGACCAATTTCCCTGTGGTCCTTTACGAGTAGTTCAACTGTATTCTAAAAATATATTATACGGTACATGAAGTGATGCTAAAAATACCTAAATCATTTTTCTACCCTACGCAATTCCCAGATTTTATCCAATTATAATGTCGATGACGGCAAGGAGTGAACTATAAAACACATCGCCTAGTAATCGTTCGACATTGCCAGAATTCTAGTGTATTATTTCTGCCAATATAGAGACAATGTATCAGAAACATAAACCCTTAAATCGGATGCGTCTCTCATTATATAGATTACATTTCCTGACGTCAATCCGAGTGATTTATTCAAACATAAGCTTCTTGTTGTTGATGATCTTATTTGGTAGATTGTGCCGTTGACTAATATAGTATAATCACACCAAGTCTAACTAATCTTCATTCCAGAAATTGTCTTCGAAACAATTCATCATATTCCCCACCGATGTTTGAATTCGGAGTGCTTCTCTCACATACTACCTCGGTAGGCTAATTGTCTCATTCTAACATTTTTGTCTGTAATTTTCCATGATGAGTTGCTCCGATATTCCCTTAAATCACTCTAGTTTCCACGTTATGTCACTACTATTCCATCACTTCACCTACATTGTCATTCTTTCCTCTTCAGTCATTCCCAGTTCATATCCCATCAACTTAACTCTCGGCCTACAATCATTCCCATCGCTGCCATTCTATCTTCCATCAATTTAGATTCTCCTCCAATCACCAACATTTCCAATTCATCCATTCATTCCCCATTCTATCTCAATCTTTTGTTCATTCCACCTATACTTATGTTTATGTAAGCTGTGGTATCTATGGTGATGATTAATGTTGTAAGTCAAGGCCTAATCTGGTAATTACGCACACCACATAACAAAACATTTCTGTCACCGACAAAATACATTAGATACTGCAACCAAAGGGCTGTTAAACGCTTTCAATTATTAGCACACATAGGCTGAAGCATCTATTATGTCCTATACATTTTGGGCTATTCAATTCTTATTTCATCTTATTGCACAGATAATTATATTGTTATTGTTGCTTTTACTGTTAGGCCTATTGTTATTGCTCATTATCGTTTGTAGTACTCATTCCTATTCTGTATTATTATTCATTAATATTTTTATTATTGATTGAATTAAATTGTATGTTTTGTTTCGTATAGTTTAATGTCCCTTTACTAACGAGAGAGGCTGAGCACCGGGGAGCGCTCGTGTTTTACACTTTTCAATTTTCAATACCATTTCTGAGCACTTCACTCAAACGCATATTTATTTTTATGAAGTTTAAAATTGTTTTCGTTTAGTGTTAATCATCGTAATTATCATTTTTCTTTCTCTTCTAAAAAGATTGTAGCCGATTTAAATAGGCTAATCCAACACTACAATCGCCCTTACCCGCCATTAGTCCGTCCAACCCCCGCTGTTGGGTGCACGCCTATATTCCTGCTGTTCTAATATGCTCTGTTTTTATGCTATTCCCGCATCATTATCTTTAATCCAGCGCATATACAACAGTCACTTCTCAAAGAGTAATACATTTTATAGCTTTTTTTTACAGATGTCTTAAACCGATAACATTTCACCAACAACATTATATACTGGCGGATACAATAACATAATATAAACAGACTGTGTGATAGCATCAAGTAATGATAATGAAAGCGCCTACTTAGCTTGTGTACCGTACACCATGTACATGAAAGCTTTTACCTATAACACATAAACATTTAAATTATAACACCCGCAGCAGAATTCAAAATTTAAGGGGTGAGGAGGTACAGTGGCGTATCTAGCAGTATTAAAATTGGGGGGGGGGGGCGCGACCAAAATATGAGGGGGCGGGGAATGGGGGGGGGGGCGCGACCAAAATATGAGGGGGCGTGGAATTTATTTTCGGTGGCCACGCCCACTGAAAAATATTGCTTCTTAGATTCCCGAATACACGTTAACCGTGACAGCATAAGCATAAGCATAGCTTAGCCTAATTTTTTTTTGCTTCGAAGTTTTCGAATAGGGGGCGCCTGGGGTGGGGGCGCAAGCTTTTTGAAAAGAGACTGGCTAACATAGAAAGAATATACAGAATCAATCAATCAATCAATAATTGACTTAGCAATCGAACGGATAAGGTCCGTTGGTTAAGTCAGTAGTACTGCCAGCCAATCAGGTTCATTCCAACAATAATAGAGAATTATTATTTTCCATTTAGACGAGTTTTGATTTGTTGGAAACGCAAGAAAAGAGGCTGCATGTACGCGTCACCACCACAGTCGAATGCTAGTTAAAATTGAACGCTTACGCAAACATGCAAAATTTGGTTAATAGTCCAGCAAACTTTGGTTGCTTGC